TCGCGAATTAATGACCCTTTTCTCACAGAATTATATCTTCCAAACATTTTATTACTAATCTAGCTATTATCCAGTCTCCAATGAATACTAAATTAAAATATATTTTGGCTCGAGTATTAATCACGAAAGGGTTGGAAAACGAAGATTGTTAGATAGCCACAGAATATTTATTTGACATTATTCTTCGAATTCCCTGTAAAGTATAGCAATTTTAACTATCATCTACTTAAATCGAGATGGTTTCGAACGAATGAAACATATTCAGTATGAGACGAAATGCGTTTATTAATTATTTACATCATGTGTGTTCGAACAGCGATTCGAGTAGAAATAAATATCGTTTAAATAATATAAAAAAGTATGTACATACAACAATATGGTAACCGAGGCCGCCGTCGGCGGTCTCGATCGCTAACCGATCATTAAACATTAGATTATTTCAACGACAACGGATCACACGACGATTCACATCAGCCATTAGACGGGTAAGAGCAGCTAACCGAGTAGTTAATTAATCGCTCGCATATTGCAACGCTACATAGAGAAATCGTTCTGTTTTGCGTTAGTAAGCACGAGAACTCCGCTCCAAGCGAAAGCTTCAGTGGTAGAAAAAATACGGTAGTGATATCCCTCATACTGTACACATCATCCCTCTTTGATTCAGTGAACGCTTCCATTAACATTCAATCTAACGTCGAAAAATAAAAAAGAAACGAAATTTTCTTCAAATACAAAATTTCTCCCGAGGAAATTCTCAAAAATAAAGAAAACATTAACGTAGAACCTAGCAACAACGATATCTTCGCAATAGAAACACCCATGGTACGATATTGCACTGGAATTAAAAAACATATCCTCTGCACCGATAAACAAAGTTCGACTTGCACCATTTTCGTGTTGCTTATAAAAGAATTTTCATATATACATAAAAAATTGAAACAGTAACAGTAAGGTCAGAAAGATACGACACACCATCCCCTATACCCTGGTGCATCGTCGAAGCGGCGGTGCAAAAAGAACGTAGCGAGTGAAAATCGACTTTCCACGTCCGTGGGCTAGGGTAAAAAAGCAGGCAAAGAACCGTCGCGAAAGCAGAGCGTCCAGAAAGTCCGTGATTCACGCGAGTCACCGAATCTTCCAACTCTCGCTCCTCATCTCTGTCCCTCTCTTTATCACATTCCCCTTTCGTCCACCACGAACAAAGAAATCCGGCTAAAGCTTCTCCAGTGCGCGACTATTCGTCAGTAGCTCTCTGGTCAGTCTCCACACTTGTTTAGCCGCGTTCTCCAAACCACTCGGCGACTTCCCTTTGAACAGATCCAAATTAGGCAGGAAATAGTGCGGACATCTTCGACACTGAAGGCAGGATATCAGCTGTAGAAAGATCCCGTTTATACGATCGGCCAAACATCCTTCGTCCCATTCGGTCTCCAAGGGATGTTTCTCGCACTCGTACAGCAACAGAGTCTTCATGTGGTAACTGGTGACCGGATTCCCCGGAAGATCCAAGTGTCTGTCCCTCAGAGTCTTCAGAATACTCAAACATCGTCTTCGACAGCCACCTTGCAGCAATCTGGTCTCCGCTTCGGTGAAAGACAACACCCATGCGTCGCCCTCCATCGCGGACTGTTTCCCCTGAAGGGCCACGCTCTCCTTCGACAACAGATCGAAACCTTCCGTTTTCACCTCCGCCACGAGATTAGGATGCGGCCAGGGAATGTGCGGAATGGGCCAGTGCGCCGCTGATCTCGGCCACACGCCTGAACATTTGAACGCAGGTGTGATCTGCACCACGTATCTCTCTCTGATACGAAGTTTCACCTCGGTAGTGTCGGCTATCATCTTCACCGAGTCTCTGTAGGTGCATTTGTCGCAGGCCTGTGCCACGAGCGTTTGAAATCTCGATCGAATTTTCCTGGCGGACAGGTAGCCAGAGGCGGTGATGAACTCTACCCACAGTGACATAGACCTCTTCCGTCCGTCGCTGAGCTTCAACACGGCGCAGCCCGGCAGGGTGCCGTCGTCGACGAAGTTGAATACTCCCATCTGGTTCAGGTAGAGGACCACCTCGAATTCACCTGGCGAGATCACTTCGAGGCCCTCGTAACGGCCGTTGCACTCGGTCAACGAAGAGATGAACCGTGGTTCCTGCACCTCCACTTCCTTCAACACCTCTTGAACAACTTTGCACACCTCTCTTATCGTCTTCTGTACCTGGCCCATGCGAGCTTGCACACGTTCGCCGTAGTATTTGTTCATCTGGTAGAGCATCTTCGACTGAGCTGCCATCATATCTTGCGGTAGCAGCATGTTATTGTCCCTGTGTGAGCTTTCACCGATAACGATCGCTCGAGGTTGTTCTTGTGGAATCGATCTGTCTCATTGTTTCGTACCGGCGAGCAGCGTCGTTTCTGTTCGATTGTCGTTAAGCTCCATGATTCTTAAATTCCTCTTTCGATTTCTACACCGTGGTGACGCGTGCCAAGGATCGACGGAGGCGAAGATCGACGAACCGGAAGGACGAGGAAGAGAGAACGGACGTGAATTAGTGCGAAAGAAAACACTTTCGGGGAAGAAAGAAGTCACGGAAACGAACAAAAGCGGCGTGCACGAGCGAGGCGGCAGGTGTTGTACGTGGAACGAGCGCGACTCGAGGTGTTCCGCGCGCGCGACGACAGAGAGAGCACCGGTGACCACCGGCCCGTTCCACTGCCCTTGTAGTTGTGTGCCGGCTCCGCAAGTCCCGCCCTCGCGAACGACAGGGTCACGTGGAGCGTGCGCGGTTTGGCCACGCCCACTGTCGCTCTCCTCCTCTAACCGGGGGGGATTGTTTTCTGTCTGTCGCGGGCACCGCGCGCGCACACACCATCGCCCTTTCGATCTGCCGAATTTTTCATCCCGCTTTAGTTATTTACGCGGTTTCTTTCGTCGTTAACCGAGGGACACTACGGGGAACAGGGTGGTTCTTCTCGCGAGGGAAGAAGGAATCGCGTGAGTTGTAAATTTGGTAATTGTATCGGATGTTGCGTACGGTGTATGTTGCTAATCAAATTATAGATTCGTTTGGTACACTTTTTCGGTGATATTGGTTTAGGGAAATTTTGACAAACTTGTTCAGTTTTGGCGTATTTCTCGTTTACATTCGTCGTCATAAGAAACTGTTTGAGAAGAGCTTCTGTCTCGTGTGTATAGTTGTAAAATACTCGAACATCGTCGTTACGTATGGTTTTTGCGAAAGAATTCTGTTCGTCGTCGTGCATCGCGCGTTCCTTTCTAAACTGCAGCCTTCGATTATTTATAAAATACGTAACACACATGTCAAATGGATGGAAAATAATCTACAGTAACTCTACTTTTAGATGAAATTGCATCCTTAAATTATTATGAGCTAAAATAATTTTATAAAATACAACAAAATCTTCAAATCTTTCATCCACATTTCTCGATTGCTCGTTTATTTCACATTTTCACCGCAAAATATTTCAAAAGCAACTCTCCCTCGCTTAGCCAGCCTCGATCTGCAACTTTTTCAAATTCCTCTCGCATTATTCACCAACTAATCGTCAGAACTCGAAAAAAGGACTTCACAAACGCTCCAATGAATTCTTCGGCGGCTGAACAATCACCGTTTCGAACACAACGCACATAAATACAATCAGACGCGATAATTTCCTCTCGTTCGTAATGCCAAGGAGAGACTTCAACGGCGCCTCTCTCTCTGCAACATGTCGATCCAACAGTTGTAAATAAATTCCTAGGGTGGAAAGAATCTTCGAGAGAAACGCGCATTGTTCAGGTTGGGGTCGCGCGAGGATTCCACGCACGATCGTTCGAGCCGATAATTCCATCGCGAGGGTCATTTGAATGTTCGACGTTCGAATAAGAAATAGAAAGTCCATACCTTTCCAGATATTTTCTTCTTGTCTGTTCGTGAATGAAAAACAGCCCTCGCGGGTTCTATCAATATGGCGGCCTTAACCGCGACCAGATGTTTCTCCGTGTAAGAATAGAGCGAATTCGACGTAGTGAAATACGATTTTTCCAAGCTTCTTTTATGCTTCGATCGTAAAAAGAGCCGCGACGCGAATACCTGTGTCCGAAAAATACCGATAACCAGGTGAGATACCCCATAGGTCGACCATTTCACGAGATTCGAGAGAGATCACCAGCCACCGTATGACGAGAAATGGTTTCTTTGATGTTCTTTTCGTCTGACCTTCCTTTAACCCTTTCGCTATCGGGAGGAATCTAGCGACACGCTACCGGAGGTAAGTTTTATTCGTGGGACGGGATTTTTGTGTGCTCGAGGTGAGTGCGGTGAGAAGAAGGGCGCTTGTGGTATAACGATAGGGTGTTCCAAATGTTTGTGGGAAGGAAGTGAATTTGTTAACGGTTTTGAATATTTATAAAACGAATTGAATTTTTTAACGAGTTTTAGAAAATTTTCGTTTTACCTAGAAGTTTGCAAGATTAGGCTGTGCAATGGTATTTGATTGCATTAACTTCACCCTTTCGTACCTAAATTACTTTTCTTGTTTAATGCAATGTCAGTTAGAATTGTTAAAATTTCATTCGCACCCGACACAGTGAGGTTGTGAATTAAGAATTAAAGTTAAGGTGGTCACTCGTAAATTGACGTATAAAACTTTCATTAAGCCTGAATCGCCTGCTGTTCCACTAATTACCTTATTGGTAAAAACGAAGCTGCAGCTGTCAAAGATAACGACACAGAAAAATTCTTTTAAAAAGGCACCTTATCACCTCTTCGACGCCTGATTAACTTCACGACCTCGTTACACCTCTCCCGTGGACAATACTTCACAAAACGAAGATTCCTGGCGTAACTGAAATCCATTACGACTGATTACTTTCCACGCACGGAGACGCACAGTCCGAGACGTATATCCAGCATTACCGGTAGAAAGCCCTCAACGACTCGCTTCTATCCAGCTCCGTCCGCCTCCTAGCCGGATAATTGAATAAAGTTCAGAAATCCAATCTACTCGATGTTGGAGTGGTAGATTGGTGCCCACCGTGCCTGCTATTCCCTCACTAATACGACTTGATTCATGAGTCGAGCACGTGCTTCTCTATCTCGCTTCCAGCCTCTCTTTCCCGCTTCCGAACGGTGTTTTCGCATAAGAGACACGAGGGGTCAAACGTTCTGCTACATCAGCCCTCGCATTAATGCAGAAGCCAGCCTCTCGTTGCGCCCTAAACGTGCCTTTCATCGTCCCATTTCGACTTAATTCGTTTATCATCTGAATTATTTGTACACCCGTTGGATGGACGGGGTTCGGCGGCGGGACCACGCGAGGGTATCTTTTGTTTCGAAGATGCGTACTGGTGGATGAAGGAAAATCGAGAAGTGTGCTTCGAGAGAGAATATCGACGGCGATTGTGAAAGTGGCTTAAATCGCGTATTTCGAGCATTTCTTTTTCGGGTGTACACCCTTTGAGATTGTTTTTGGGTCAGATGTGGCTGGTTGGAATGAATTTTTATCGAGTTAACAGTAATAATGCAATGCAAGATTATGAATACGGAATTTAACGCAATAATATGTGGTTTGATTTTGTACGAAAATTATATTTTACGTTTCCCCATCGTATGGTATGAATGCTTCGGCGGCTGAGAGCAGACATTCTATCGCAAAGGGTTGAAAAATGTTTTTTCAGTATGTAATAAAATATTTCACAAAATACTTGGTCTTATAAAGTAACTATTTTCTACGAAATGATCGAGGCGACGCAAAATAAGTGACAAATTCAAATATTTTAGAATTTTAACTCAGACCAGTTTCACAATCATTACCTTACTTCTTTATTTTATCATCTTACTTCTTTAACACTTTCGCTGCAGCAGTGTTACAATTTTTCATCACGCGTGTAAAATTTGTAATTTTGGCCGTATCGTTTGAAAATTTGATTTATTAAGTTAAGATGGACGTGTGTAAAGGATAAAATTAACACATTTGCGTCGGATGACGCACATATGCGTCATTCAGGTATTCACTTGGATTCCGAATGACGCGAAATACGTCATTGAGATTTTCACATATCTGTCTGAAAGTAAATTTATAAAACGCTGTAAATGATTGAATTTCTCTTCAGAAATGCCGCGACAGATGTTTCACGAATTCTAATAATTGTATACGTTTCACGAAAAAGTGATTTACCACGTTCTTGAAAATTTCTTTGAAAAATAATAATTAGTTGAAAAGTGACGATTGAAAGAAAAGACGCGAAATCACCCCGTGCACATGTTAAGCGCTGCTCTAAGAGTCCCGTCGCCAATGCGTTAAGATGGAAGTGTACCACGAAACGCCCCAGTAGCAACGAAAGGGTTAAATTATATTCGATTTTTTCCAAGTTAGTGTTGCACATTTAATGGTTAACACCAATTTTCGAATTCATTTCACTTACCAGAACACTTTTCTCCTCTCCTTAAAAACTAAATTTCGCAATTTTCCCATGAAAACGGCGACGTGTCCGATATTCCAAAAATCTCTCGATTGTGAGGCCGCCAAGGATCGTTTCCAGCGAGTGCACGTTCACTGGGCTATATCTAATGTCCCGATCAGCCTTGTCGAACTCCTCTCGAAAAGAGCAGTCCTAGGCAAATGCACTTTTGCCAAAACATTCCACGAAGAGGAAGGAGGAGGGAAAGTGATGGCTCGTTTTACGTGGCAGGTAGAAGAAAAGGGCGGTCTCCTATTGCGTGGCGCGTTTCATTGTGCAAGTTTCTCGGTTGTGTAGTATCCACGACGACAAGTCTCTCTTTCTCTCTCTCTCTCTCTGTTGAAGAGGCAGCCGGCCTTGTAAATCAGCTCGAATGAACATCCTCGAGTAATCCCCGAATAATCCAGGGCTCAGTGGTTCGGTTCCAACAGCCGGCGAAACTCGTGCAGGCGCACTCTGCGTATTTCACGGTCTCCTTGCTTAATGACACGAGAGCACCACGGTGATCTCTCGATTCGACGTGGATGAACGAGACTCTATCAGTGCGTTGCGAGATTATACTTACGGAGATGCTGGGTGGATGTTGAGGGCGAACGTTCTTAGTGAAATTTGCACCGGGACGGGGAAAAGAAGTTTGTAGATCGGAGTGGGGAACGGACGTTCTTAACGTTTATGAGATTTTAATTTTAATTTTCCCTATTCCCGGGGATTCTCCCTATTTAGGGGATTTTAATTTTCCTCTTCTGTTCTTAGTAGGTTTGGTTCTTCTTGTAAATATTTTATTTTCGATTCTCTCTATTTGCCGGATTTTAATTTTCCTTTTCTCTTTTTAGTGGGTTTGTTTTTCATTCTAAATATTTTAATTTCGCTTCTCCCTATTTACAAGAGTTCAATTTTCTTTCCTTTTCAGTAGGTGTGCTTTTTATTTTTAATATCTGAATATCAATTTTCCACTCACCAGCACGGAACATTCACTTTCCTGGGCTCATTTTCACCTGGCTTAAATCAGAAGATTAGGAAAGACCAGCGATCAGATAAAATAAAAATCGAGTTA